ATTTACAAAACATTAAACCTTTTGATTCACGATGAACCATTCAATGGAATTTCGGAATAAACATTTGCAAAAATTTTTTTCTTTTGTTATTAAACAATTACGCACGCACACCCGCACACACACCTACGATTCGAAAAAAAAAAAAAAAATATTTTTACAAATCGAATAAACAATCGTAATTTAAACAAACCTAAAAGTATATATATAAACTTTTTCTTTTCGAACCTTAAATCAATCAATTAATCGAAATTAAAAAAGAAAGTCGTCGTCGATTTCGTTTAAAAAAGAAAAAACAAATTTAAAATAAAAATGAATTTAAATTTTAAATTAATTATTATTTTCGGTATTTTTCTTTTGTCGCAGGTAAGTTTTTTCATTTAATTTTTGTTTTTCGTATACTTTTACAAAACGAAATTTTTTTAAAATTATTATTATTATTATTATTATTTAGGTAACAGCTAACGAAGAAGACAACCAGATAACCGTTTTGCAAAAGAAAGTTGAAGATTTTATTGAACAAGTAAGTTTTTCATTATATTTTTTCCAATTTTCCAATGTATTGAAACGTGAAAAAAACCGTTATTATTATTATTATTATTATTATTATTATTATTACAAGTAAATTAATAAAGTGTTAAAACTAAAATATTAATTAAAAAAAAAAAAAAGTATGAAAACGTATGAAAATTTTACAACGTGAATATTGGTGATATTTCAAATGGTAAAATTTCGACAAGGCGGTGCAATAATTATTATTATTACTATTACTCCACGAGTAGTTTTTAATAAACTTTGTGTCACTTGGCAAATAATAATAATGATAATATAAAATAATATATATGAAATTTCTTTTAGGTATTGAAAACGTTGCAAAATTTTTACCATCAGATCAAAAGAGAAGACAAATGTTTACCGGAATTTTTACCGGATCGAGTAATAGAAACGTTAAAAAATTCAATCGATTGCGTTAATAATTATGAAAAATCAAAATCGAATAAAAACAATATAGGATTTATTGAGTGTTTCAACGAAGCCAAAGATGAAATCAATAAAATAATGATGTCGATAGATTTAAATAAAAATTACTGTCCCGAGAACGAAACGGAAAAATCATACGAGATAAATCTCGTGACGTCACAACTGAAAAAATTCAAAATCGAAATTAAAAACGGATTGGAAGTGTTTAAAAAAGACGTTAGACTAATAAACTTGAATAAAACTTGCGATAATGTATTGGATTTCAGCGATTTAGAATATGGAAATAGTAAATATGAGAATCTTGATGAGAATGTCATGGGGAAAACCGAACAATTTTTTAATAAAGATGTAATTCAAGTATTCAGAGCATCGGATAAATCAAAAGATTCTATTGATGTTCCATTATCCGCTGTCGAATCTACCGATGAATCTCGTGAAAATAAAAAAATGAGTTTTTTCAATGCCGAACCCGAAGAAGATAAAGAAGATTTTATGAAATTTTCATTTACCAAACGTTCCGTTAGATATGGTGTCGATTTCACACCGCCGCCATCTTCGACTCAACATGAAAAAGCAACGTCAACGTCAACTGATGGAATGATGTCGTCATCAACAACGAAAGATGGCGGACAAGAACCCGTAAAAGATTTTCCCGACGAAAGATATTTATTCGTTAAAAATAAAAACAAACACGGACACGGTTAAATACAAATAATACGAAAAAACAAACGAAAACAAAAAAAGTAATTATTGTTTTTGTTAAAAAAAGAAAAAGAAACTTTGGATTATTAATAATAAATTTTTCTTAACCGAAACACAGTATAAACTTTTATTACACCTAAATTAATACTAAAAATTTTTTGAAAAATGAGATATTTATTTATTCTAAGAACATTTTCGGGGCCTTATTCACCCCTTCCACCATCGTTATCTTCCGATCATACTACCATTTCGGAATGAAAATCACATATTCCTATCACCACCTATTCGACAGCCACCCTTTTTATAAGAATTTGAATATTTTCACAGGAACCGTACTACAACACCACCGCGTCATAACACGAGTAATAAATTTAATTTAAAATAACATGAGGTTAAATTTCCGCCATATTGTTTTCAAAATAAAGCCTTGAAGCAAAAGAAAAAACGGTTAATATATAAAAATACAAAGTGAAAAAAATTTTAAGTCCGCGTTATTTAAATAAAATCACGGAATTCAATTACGTTTATGATTAAATT